ATACGGAACTGAGCTTTTTTTTTCTCCGCTCTGGTCCGTCCAGATCAAGACCCGCTATTGCAATCGCACCAAACAGGAAAAAGAATGTAGGGAAGACCCGGTTTGTCAAATGAAATTATAGTAAAAACAAATCGGTAACTAGAAATTAGAGCATAGTTCGTATATATCCAAAAAACTAAGAGCAGTTAATCAAATAATTAGATGCAGACTATTGGTGCTTCAACAGACCAGGAAGAAGTTGAGATTCTAGAGCGAATCTCACAACTTTAAAAGAAAATTCTTATTGCAGGAATGGATGAAGAGATGATGAGTTTGGAAGCAGAGAACAAACAGAGTTCATACAAACTATGTTTGATCCTGTTTATCCCTGTAAAAAAATCACCAACAGAAAGAAAATATCTGGGCAGAAACTGAACATCTGCTGGATGATGATGGGGATTTTTTTTGTATATGTCATATTAAATTAAATGTTTACAGGGTTTATACAGGAACGAGGAACTCTAATTTAATGCTAATAGAAATAATTTTAATGCCATCAACAAGTATCATGTACACAAGTTATTAGTTTACATGAAAGAAGGAGCTGTAAGCACAGTTCCTTGACTGAAGTTTGTATATATATCTATATATAGATATATATACATGTATATTGTTAAAGAAAAATTATTATTTTTTAGACTTTAATACAGTTAATCTTATGGCATGTGTAAACACTCTCACTTGAACATATTTCTTAATTTTGAACAAGGCTGTGTTAATGATTTAAAACTACTAATGGATAAGTATTTAGACCACCAGCCCATAGAATGAGTATCTCCTGGGGGGTGAATAACAGTTAAGCCTGCAGGAGAGATTTCTTCTGGGTTTACAGAAGGTCAAAAGTGAGGCCCCCCGCATTCCACAAGCTGTCTGTGAGAGCTTATCTTGTGTTTTATGACTTTAGGAATGCTAGATGCCAGGACAAGCTTTCCGCCTTTTCTTGTTAAAACAAAGAAGCAAATGACCCCAGATGTTTGCAGTAAATAAGGGGAAGCCCTAGCAGTGTCAGAGATGGCGTTTGATTGGAGGACCGAGGGCCAGCCCCTTTTTGAATGGATTAGATACAAGAGGATAAAGCTTTCTAATTAGAAGAAAAAGATCAGATTTTGCTCTTGCAAACTCTCCAAAGATGTCTTGTACGTCTTTGCTTTCTTTCCTCCTATGTCAGGTAATGGAATGTATGTCTCTGTTGTTCTGTGGTTTCTGGTGTAGGTTTGTGCATTGTCTTATTTCTAAAGTGTATGCATTGTCTTATATTGGATTAAACTCTGTAATTCTGTGACGTCAACACGCAATGTTGGTTTTATTACCAAACGCAGCTCGCCGAGTGGACCTGGGGAAGGGAAGAATCAGAAGCCAATCTTTTTCCAAAGTTAACTATGTTAGAATATTTTCTTCCTTTACAATATCTATATAGCTAGATAGATAGATAGAGAACATGGTGAAATCATCTTTACGCTCGACAGGCTGCAGCCATGTCACGAATTCCTCTTTTCCAGCCACTTTTTGAAATTTGTATTGTCCTATTCCTAGCTCTTTCTCCGCCTCGAGCTTCTTTTCCAAACAACTGCTTTATGATCAATTGCAGCAGTTCTGCGCAAATTAATTGTGTCAAAAAATTGTCACTTTTTAAACACCAAAATGTATTGAATAAATACAAATTCCGGGAAACAATTCTTTTTTACATCTCTTTAATATTTTGTTCTATTCAGCTACACAAACATCATCTCTAAACTAAGAATTGTACTATAAATGTGACTTTACCCGATTATTATGTACACCTTAGTAATTTATTGATATGCTGCACAATGCCCTCCTTTTTGGTGCTATAGAAATGGCCGCCCTAGTTGGAAAAAGCGCCACCAGCACTTTATAGGGTCTGCTGTATGGGACCACTTTGCATTTAGAGTGACCTACGATGACAGCGGAAAGAAAGCTGTGGATAAAAAGTGTGCAAGCATTGTGCAACACGCGTTGTACAAGACATAATAGATTTTCCTTACAATCAACATATACCGAACCGAAAACCGTGACCACGAACCATGAACCGAACCGTGGATTTTGTGAAATGTTCTACCCCTAATATATAGTGATAATGGAAGACATTTTGCTCCTTTCTGGACTATTGAGCCGATGTGGCAAGTGAATTTCTCCACTGTGAGATCAATAAAGTCAATCAATCAATCAACTACAAAGTAAAAGATAGTACTGTTTCACATAGATTTAAATATTCATTGTGCTACCACCATCAAAGTGTTGGACTAGTAGAAAGAATGCATGTAAAAATAAAAACAAAGAAATGTATTGAAAAAATTGGAGATCTACTTGGATTGATCTATATTAATCTAAAGGAATAATTTTGTCTAAAAGCTCTGCCAGGGGAGGTGATTATAAAAAAAAGTCTGATAACAGAATGGACTCAGACATTTAGAGACTGGGTAGATCTGAAAGTCATTGACGAAAAAGAGGTAAACTGAACCAAGTAGATTTTAAATTTCAGTGAAAATGAACTGGTTAAAATGATCCATCTACTGGTTTATGTTCCCAATCAGTCAGTAATTCTTCTTATTTGGTATGTGCCTCCAACCAGAACAAAAAACAAATTGTTGTTAACTGTTAATTTGACCTCTAGGTCTCTGACTCCTCAAACATATTTATCAGTCTCCAATGAAGGCGAGGGGACATCTAATGGTTGTGGTTCTGATAAGAATGCAGACAGAATCAACTACGTCCATGATAATGTTCAAAGGCTGGAAATTGTACACAGTGTGGTTTTAAAGCTGTTCATGATCAGCTGGCTGCAACCTCCTTTATGGCTTCCCAGTAAGGCTTGGTATTGTAATACTGTTAGCAGAGGAAGCTGAGCAGAACTAGACTGTTGGTTGGTTGTAGGAGGAGCTGAGGCAGACCAAGGCTGCTGCTGCTGCTCACCTCCAAGCCCAGGCGAATAAGACGGGATGCAGAGCCTCCCATCTTAGGACGAGACGTAGAAGCCAAGAAAATGATGTCTCTGAGCAGCGTGGCTGAGTAGCTGCAGGTTCTGACCCATGACCAGGAGCAGCAGGTGGCCCAGGGCCAGAGGGGAGCCTGGAGGCAGTGTTGGCTCTGCTGCACCTACAGGAGACTTCGGCCGGGCTTCTCTGCTCCAATCTCTGCAAGCTGCCCCCAGTGGACTATTCAGGAGCTGCACATGTACTGAAACTGCAGCCAGGTGAAGGCTACCAGCAGCTGCTGTGGGTTCTGCAGACAAAGGAGGCTGAAACAGAGGAGCCCAAATGAGTGGCTTCAGAAGTGCCCAAGCAGAGCCCAGAAGGAGGTCTTCTCTCTGAACGGTTGCATTTTTCCCTTTATTAACATAAACTTTTCAGTTAAAGCTACTACTTCAGCTGCTTGTGCAGTTGTGCTGGACAACAAGCGTTTATGTCTGCAAAAGGCCTCCTCTGCTTTAGCAGTCCATTTCATTGCTGATGTCATTTAACACTAAAAGTCCCAGAGATACGAGAATTTCCCTCAGCCTGCAGTCCCCCCGCAGTACTTATCAACTCATGAATCCCTTTTCAGATGTAAATGCCCCATTAGCGCTGTGGCTTGAGAAACATTCCACCCCCTTCAGTTTCGGTTTTAGCTCAAGTCTCTCTCTTTGAGACTGTTTTACCTGAGAGCAGGAGGGGGGGAAATCATATTTTTTATTAAATATAACTCGTTCTACGTCATCAGTGTCACCAACAGTGCAATGATTTCAGCGCAGCGATCAGACGATATCTGATCTGTACAATGAAAATAGCTGCATGAGGTGGAACGCTGTGGAAAGCAACACCATTTACACAATAATGACCATTTATACAATAATGAGCATTATTTATTTGTGGGGAAATATAGCTCAGGCAATCTCTCTCTCTCCTCTTTCCTCCGCTGGCAATATATGCACAAATTCGGCTTTTCTGGATTAATAACTCGCCGGCAAATTATTTATTCTACAAAGCAGACACCACAGCAAGCCATACAGTGAGCTACAACCGTAGTTTCCTCAAAACAAGTCTCCTATCACGCTGGGAGGATTACATTGGACCCTATGGGGATCTCACTGCTCCAAAAATATGCAGGAGGAGCAAGCTCTGCAAGTTGTAAAATAATCAGAGATATATATTCAAAAGCCTCATTAAGGAGAGGTGGATTATTATCACATTCATTGGATTCAAAAATAATACTTTTCTGAGCAATTTCCAAAAGCCTAAATGACAAATGTCACCTCTATTCTATTATTAGAATAAGTATAAAATGAGCAATGACTCTAGATGACTATAGATAATTGTACTGCCTTAAAACTTGTAGGATACATAGGTAATCTCATATAGTTCACACTACAACCCTTACTTTGGGAAAATGTGCTAAACTATTTTTTTGTGTGGATTTTTCATTGTTATAAGTATATAAAAGACATTTATTATTTATAACATTTAGTTTTCAGTTTGTGTTCACAAGTGTAAACAAAAGGAAATTTCATTTAGAACAGCTCTAGACAATGTCATATTTTAAAGTGTAGCTTTGAAAACAGTAATAAATACATGAAAAAATTGTTAAATAAACATATGACCATATATTTACAGTTATAACATTCTTTTGTTTTTTCTTTTGGGAAGTTAGGCCAAACTGTATTTTTGGAGATTTATTCATTGTTATTATAAGCATATAATAGCCAATAATTACACTATAGATCACTGTAGTGCCACCAAACTTGTAGCACACATAGATAACCTAATCTAGTTCAGACTACAACTCTTACTTTGGGATAATGTGCTAAACTATATTTTTTGAGATTTTTGTCATTGTCATTCTAAGCAGGCCAGGTGTGCAATCTCTGCAACAGGAACCACAGCACTGAGCGTTGTGTGCACTGCACAAAGTATACCTGTCACAAATGCTCATATGTGTCATGGTTTTGAGGTGCTTGACCAACATGCAGAATCAACACAGAAGGCAAGAGCGATTTTCAGACGTTTAATCAAACAGCGAGGGAACCAAACACTGGGAGCTGCGGCACGGTGAGCAGGTGGACTATCAACGCAGGCAGGACTGATTGATCTGCGGTGAGAGCCAAAGTTAGACACAGAGATAGGGAGAACAAGAGAGGGGAAACGTTAAATAAACCTACCGCCGGATGAAGGAACCGGGCAGGGGGGAGTGGAGAGACAGACTCACTAAGAAACCTCCAGAGAAGTTGGCAGGTGACTGAGCGACAGGTGGGCAGGTGATTGAAGTCTGTGAGGAGGGGCCCGAGCAGCAGCGGCCGAGGAGGAATCCGGGGGCAGCTGATGGAACCAGAAGGACTTAAAAGGCTCTCCAGCCCGGCTTGGTACCACCAAGGGAGCTGGAGGGATTATTCAGAGGTAGATCCAGAACAGTCTGAACCGGAGATCTTCCACTGAAAACATCAGAGCACGAGGAATCACTGGAACAGTTTTCATAACGAGAAAAGACCTGGGAAACACAGGAGACTTGGGTTAGCGTAGAGAAAAAGGTAAGCTGTCACAGACAGAGGCCTCTAAGCGTACCAACAAGGTTAACACTCTGGCGTCCATCAGCTGTCAGAGTGCTGCTTAAATAGCAGAGCCGCATGCCGCTGAACAAGCCACAGGTGTGTACCATGCCCACCTGTCAGCTCCAGCCAACTGCGGAGAAAGGAGAGAAAGGCAGAGCTGGCAGATTCCTGACACCATGTAGTTCTTTTCCTTGGGTGAAATTAATGTTACTCCAATACTGAAATCATACTGTTTGTCATTCTCTAAGCTGAAATGTTGAATGACATGAAAAGGCGAGACAAGACAAAATACAATTATTCTCTATGATAATGGATGAAAACCAGAAAATCGCCCGTCTCATCGTATATAGTTCAAAAAGTATAAGAGTTACAGGGCTGAAACTTGGCACAGAGAGAGGCATGGAGGGTCCCCACATTCTATTAGAGTTTGGTAGGTGTGGCTCATTCCCTTGACATAGCTGCCATTGACTCCCATTCATTTGAAAAACCGTCTCATCGTCAACAGTTTCCGAACCGTATGTCCCATCCTTCCCAAACTTGGTGTGTATACTCCCCCTGGGCCGTCCCAACTTTCCACCAAGTATGGTGGTCCTAGCCCCTCCCCTTCCTATAGCTGCCATAGACTCCCATTCATTTTTGAAGTTTCGCTAGGAGCATCGTAGAGACATGGGAGTTGGTTTTTCGTGCTCAGGGTTAGGGTTAGGGTTAGGCATTAGACACTCTCTCGATGACCCCCCCCACTCAGCCCGACGGCCCGAGCAGTTGGCTAGGGGATCAAAGGCAATGCACGGGCCCACGCACGTTTGTTGGTATCTCTCAGATCCAAAGTCAAACTAATTTGTAAAATTATAGTTAAGGTCAAGGTTCTGGTCAGGGTAGGTTTATTAGGGTCTGGTAAACAGTCAGGGTTGTTTTTAGGGTTAGAGCCGCAATCAGGGTTAGGTCAGCGGTTAGGGTTAGGGGCCAGGAAAATCAGGTCCTTTTTGTCCCTTTTTTTCTCTTTCCTTGTGGCCCGCTGGCGTCCGAGTTGGCAGGAGGGTCCGCTTTGCCATCCGGGTAGTTCTCAAAGAGTGCCAGGTGGGGGTCAAGCGGGCCACGGGGCCGGATTTGCAATACGGAGCAGACACACTAGATGGCAGTCAAGCCCTTTGGTTTTCCTTTAGCCAAAAGTGTGCCCGAACCGGGAATTTAGTGCGGATTTTGTTATTAACCCTTTAAATGCTGGCGGTTTTTGATTTTTTAACCCTTTAAATGCCAAACAGTGAGTTTGGGTGGGCCAATAGGGTGGAAGACGGTGCCATATGTCTGTAAAAAGTATTTTTGCGGCGTTATGGGAGCGTTTGGCGAGGGCTGGGGTCGGACAAAGGGGTCACCGCTCGGACTCAGGGGCTCACCGCTTTTGTTTTTTGGGCTTTTGAGCGCCAGTGTGGGCTAAGGCGGGCCAAAGGGGTGTTGTGCTGGACACTGGGTGGGCTCTGGAGGACCAGGGGCTGTTCCGCGGGGGTCGGTGCGGGCCCAGAGTGCTCCTTCTCCGGGGAGAGGCGCTCCACTCGCTCGGCTGGTTCTGGAGGTGCGGCGGATGCTGGGTTTTTCAATCTTTGCTATTTAAAAGTGCAAGTTGAAAGCGGGTTAACTAAAAAATGGGTTCTGGACCCATGCCCTGCCAATTGTCGGCACCCAGTGATGCGAACTTCTGTCCACTTAATATATTGCATATATTTCCTATTTAAACTGCTCCGGGTCTCGGAGATCTAAGCCCACGGGCCCTGTGCGGCTTTCCCCAGGGGTCAAAGGTCAAGTGCCGTGCGGCCCTCTGTCCGTTTAATGAACACCTGTGTCCCCAGCATGGATCTCCATGGGCCCGGTCCCTGGTTCTGGACCATGGGCCCGGTCCATGGGTTTGTGCTGGGCCCTTGGTGATCCATGGGCCCTGTTCATGGTCCTGCAGCGGGCCCTTGGTGCTTCTTCTCTGGGGAGAGGAGCTCCGTGGGCCCGGTCCCTGGTTCCGGAGCCTGGTTCCGGACCGGGTCTCTGGTTCTGGACCCATGCCGTGCCAATTGTCGGCACCCAGTGATGCATACCTCTGTCCAATTAATACATTGTATACATTTCCTATTTAAACTGCTCCGGGTCTCTGAGATCTAAGCCCACGGGCCCTGTCCATGGTCCTGCGGCGGGCCCTTGGTGCTCTGTCTCTGGGGAGAGGAGCTCCATGGGCCCTGTCCCTGGTTCTGGACCCATCCCGTGCCAATTGTCGGCACCCAGTGATGCATACATCTGTCCAATTAATATTGTATATATTTCCTATTTAAACTGCTCCAGGTCACCCCGAGATTGGAGCTCCATGGGCCCG